GTTTTTGGATGTGCAATGGCAATGGTGGGCCAGGATTGTTTTCCAATTAGTGACGGCACGACCTACCTGTGAAGTATGAACAAAACCGGCCGAGCCGAAACAATCACAGAGGAGTTAAAAGCCGTTGCTGGTGAAAAGTTACCCCAACTTTAGGGTCAAATTTCTCGGTAATGAAAACAGATATCAAAAATTCAAATAGTAACTTTGTGCCCACACTCAAGCTGAGTAGAATGAGCTATGTCTGAAGTGTTTTATCCCAAATTTGTAGGAGGAGATACATTTGGCGCGAAGCTATTCAAAAATCAGTTTTTTGGCTGTTGCTATGGCAATGGTGGGCCAAAATTTTTTTCAGATTTTTCCTTATAACTAGGGTGAAGGTGTGACCTACCTGCCAAGTTTGAAAGAAATCGGCCAAGCCAAAAAAATCACAGAAGAAATCATACGTGAAAACACTGGAAATGTACACACACAGACACACAAAACGACAAAAGTGATTATAAGGGCAATCCTAGCGGAGCGGATCGCCAATGATTAGTTGAGTTTGTAAGAAAACTTACCACATCGGCGTCTCGAGGAACTACAATGAATATACGCACACAACTCAAAGAATATGAGAAAAATTGTATTTATTTTAGAAACTCCCTCGACCAAGATAATATTAAATCTGTACAGCTTTGAATCTCGGTTAAATAAAAAAATATGCACTATTAAACAAATGCACCCGTCTCTGTCACCTGGACACGGCTTAGCCTCGCATCCTATCCCCGACTGCTTTAAGTCCTGCAGTGTACACATTGGGTGGACGGTCCACCTATACAACAACACAACATATAAGGTATGGTAGACACATGTCTAAATATGATATCTATATGTGGGGGCCACTTAAATATATATTATATCTTTTCATAGTTAAATATTACTATTTTAATATTTTGTAATATACTCAATAGTGCTTCTATTGTTAGGATGTGTACAACAAACAAACAAACACACACACATGCACACACACCCACGCACGCACACACGCACGCACGCACGCACACACTGATCACATGTTGGACGACAGACTGTTATACAGCAGTCGGACTAAAGCTGAATACTCTTTTTACTTCGTGATTTACACAAAGTGTACTTGGAATATCAAATTCCAGTTTAGAGCTAAATGTAATTTCGAAATCAAGCAATGGTGTGCTTAAACATGCGTTGCCAATACAATCAAGTAATAATACCATTGAAATTTTATATTCAGAAATATTTCTTTTATAGCTTTTCGTTTTCAGTTTTATCAATTTTGAAGCGTAAAACACTCACTAGTTTAGAAGATTATTGATAACTTGACCAACGAACATCTGGAAGTTGTCGTATATATATATGAATTCTTTTTTTATATTGGACATAAACTACTAGCACAGTGTCCACTGTTCCACAAAGCACCCAAACATTTAACGCGCCTTGACGTTGTTCTGAAACCACTGTCTACTTGCATGAAAACATGGCTTTCAACATATTACGCTGACAAGAATATGCAATAAGTAGAAGCGGGTGGGATAGTATTTCTCAATAGGTTTCGAAAATAAAAGGATAATCACTTTTTAACTTAATCTAAATCAATTAGTGCATGACCAGCGTAAATATTTCCATTTAGAACGCGTTAATAATCTGCGATTTCTAAACAGGCGTTCCTGTGAAAACGCGCACGAGAATGGCTACATCGAAAAACGAAATTGATTCAGTAATGATAGTCATAAGGACTGACTCAAATACATTGCAATCAATTAAACTAAGCGTTCGCAAGCGAAGCTAACACATGAGAATAGTATGTGCAAAAAATATGATAACTGGAAGCCACTGTTTTCAATAATAGGCATCATATCGCGGATTGTCCCATCCGTCGTGTCGGTGTCTTGGTTGAACACAGCTTCATCTGTTAGATGGTAATTGTTGTTCACCGCATTCAACAAATCTCTTGTAAGAGATCTGGTTGTATTCCCCGCTCAGCTGAAGCAGCAAAAACAGTGAACGAATGAATAAGTATACTCCTCCTAAATAAGTGCGCTTATTGAATGCTACGCGTTTGGCGGTAACGCTACCATTGTCTGGTGGTGTCCTGCGTGGTAGGTGACTGAATTGTTGCCAAAGTAACCATCTTCTGAGGACGCGTATCCAGACGTCACCTGCGATGGACCGTATCTAGATGACGGGGGAGCAATGTAACCACCAGAACGACCATTATGGTGCATCTGTGTCGCGTAACCTGGACCGTGTGCAGCACCGTTCATGTTGTTATTGTACTGACACTGATTGTTTCTGGAACGTCGATTGGCGCTTCGACAGCAACAATAGACGATAACGGCGATGGCCACAATTAGGACTACTGCAAATGCTACAACAACACCGAATATAGTTCCCATCCACGTCAACCACGTAAACGACGAATAACTGTCATCATTTGGATCATCTGTTGAAATAAGTTTAAAATCTAATTAAATAAATGGCTATAGTTTTGCAGAATTATGTTTAACTTCTCTCTATTCTACTATCTGCACGGCATCTACGTGTGTGTGAAAACAACACCATGCCATGCCATGACTTCCAATAGCGGACCCTGACGGCGAATGACAAGTTACGCGATATGACTGGCATATTGCAGTGACAGATAAGTCATGTGCTCTGATGGAAAGAGACAGTGCATATTATAGTTAGCCAACAGACACCTATGGCGACGCTTCTGGCTATGCAGTACGTTTAATTGAATAGTATCTATAATTAAGCTTTACAAGAAAGTTTAATTCGATGAGTAAAACGTACAATACATAATGTCTCATAGATTGTGATTATGTGTCCATCATCAGTGTTACGCCATCCAATGATATATCGGATTGAGAATAACATTAATTAATTCCTCATTCATCCATTTATATTTATATAAATATATGATGTATATATCTATATATATTTATTTATTCAATCTGGGAGATTCTGAAAAATTGGCAAGCATAGAGAAAATAAAACCAACGTAATCTTTGTTGTGACCATCACAAAAACGCTCATCTTAAATCACATACTGTAAAAGGGTTAATTATTCACTGGGTTTTAATTTTACTTATTTCGCTGACTGGAAAATGCGTGAAATCAGTGAAATTTAAACCCAGTGAAAATTAGTCATTTTACAGTAATCTTTTCATGATGTACAAATCAATTTTGTCATATAATTCTAACTCTCCTCAACTGATTTTAACTTTTCAGCCTTGTGTCGTTTTTGCTTTCACTGTGATTAATGATGACACATCATCAGAAAAAGTTCAATGAACTTGTCACTACTTGCACAATCATATTATCACCCTCGTTTTCCGGGGATGAGTCAGGAGAAATGTGAACAAATAATTATTATTACTAGTCTTGTTGCTAGCCCAACAACAAAAAAAGTAGTCGTGCTATTTTCGCCTTCAGTAATCCGGAGACGACAGACTGACTGACTATGAATATCGATGTCACATTAGTATAAAAAAGAACAATCTGACTGATATATGTTGTCTATAGACGATGTAGACAAGACAATCTTACCGAAGCAAAGTGCGTACTCTTCGTCACTAGAATCAAGGCAGTTTTCCAGTCCATCACAAACTAAGCTGTTATCAATGCACATCGATCCGTCAGTGCACATGAAACAGTCTGAATCTTCACCTGCAAAGAACAAGAGATAACTAAACGATTACATCAACCCATGTATCGTCCTCTAAACAGTCATACTGTATGTACAATCGTAATCATGTGTTTTGAACAAACAAAAGTAACATTCGTTTGTCAACTGAAATAAAAATTCACAGATCTATCAAATCTTATCTTTCAGGAAGCTGTCTTCCAGTTGCTATTTTTACTGTAATAATACGTGAACTTTTGACTTTCACCCTCGTTCTCAAATAATATCAAACGTTTCCATACTATATTAATATTATAATTATATTATTTGTATAAATAAAAGCTATTATAATCTACTTATTAGCCGACATTATTTTATGATTTGGAAATAATAACTGTTGTTCATTTGATCAATGACAAAGATTGCATGTGTCTATCAGATGTCTAAATTCCAATAGAGACGAACATCATTACAACAAGGAAAATCCAAATTTACTAACTATATTTTGTTTCATGCACGCAAAGCGCTATATTGTCAACCTCTCCATTTGCATTTGAAAATCTATCATAGTAGCCCGGTCAAGGTCAGACAATACCTTGCGCGCAGTTATAAGGATTCCCTTAATGTTGTCTGAAATGTATATCCTGTCAAACGATGGCGTGTGACAATGCCTGCATATTCAATATTATCTTCGCTGTTTTTGACAACTGTGATGACAATTACGATGCATGGTTCTTTTGAAAACAGTTACAAAATGCTTTTTTTTTTTTCATTTCTTATCGAGGAGTGTGTCAGAGGTTTCAAACGTATATGATACGTGTATTTACCAGTGTGGTGACGAGCCGTCATAGTGTTGCATCATGGGGGATGTACATGAGAGAACCAATCACAACAAGCTAGGTCATGTTTTGACATGTTTGATGTGCGCACATTGAAATGTATAGCCCCCACTGCGTATATTGTCTTACATTAATACGTACAAAATAGCAAATGTCCACAATATGTATATCGTTTTAAATATGGAACAGTCGCAATCCAATCTAACTGCCTTCATTGTCTCCAAATCGGAATACAATATTGGAGATATAATTTACAAATCTCTATATATAAATATTGCGTTGCATCTCTTGTCAATTGGGCAAAACATGGATTATCAGATGGCATGTCCTTCAGAAATTACAATATGGCAACATTGGGGCATAGTGGCTAATTGTGTAAATTTGTAATTATCACGGCTACGGCTCTGCTCGTAGGTCAAAATAATATAGAGAATTTGATTCAAAAATATCCTACTAATAACACATTGTAAAGTACATACGACATATTTAGATAGGCGTATATTTAATTTGCCAATTAGGCAGAAACTGGAATCTACTAGTAATGTATGCCTCAAATTAAATCCAAATGTTGCATCTTAGTATGTTATAGACTGGGACATCGAAAACATGGCGAACATAAATTTGTAAAATCCGTTCCAAGAGTTTGTTCATCTTTAAATACTGCTTGACTATAATATAAACCGGTAATAATTAACAGTATTATTTTGCTTGATTTAAAAATAAATAGGACACTCCTCCGCATAATGGGGCGATACTATATATATGTGTGTGTGAACGCGCTCAGCTGGCGGAGATGTCTATTTTTTGTTTAACTGAATAAGGGAAATTATGATAAATTAATGAAGAGTGGCTAGAGCATGCGAGGTCGGCGATCAGAGACATGCGTGACTTCAATTGAATGTCAGTCTCGTGACATAGCCGACCGGTTTTCAATTCACTGCGACATCTGCCGTCAAACACTGTGCACTTTTCCCCAGTGCATGTCGCTTTATATTAGAACGCATTGCCAAGCAATATAATAACCGCAATTGGTTGCCGGCGTAGCGGTACTCAACGATCTTCGCTACCCGGTGGCGAATGGCCCAAATCAAACAAAGTACCACCCATAACGCATAAATATGGTACATACAAAAATGTTGACGCAGGAATTCCTACTTAAAAACTACACATACTGTATATAGCAATACTGGTGTGTTTAACGGTCTCTTGTGGTTGTGTGTTAGATTGGTGCACTGCATGACTCTGGACGTTCTGTTATTGTAACGTTGCTGGACTCCTCAACATGTCGCGGCCTCCATAGTTGAAAAGGAATTGTCGTAACTGGTTCGCAAATTAAAACACGATGAATGGAACACCATTTGAAACTTATTTTATTTGTGCTCATCTGATAACAAGGAGGAGTAATTATTTTGTCATGCATTGACTAAACCGCTTTTATCCATAGATCGCCTAACTGTAGCCATCTTTTCATAAGAAAGCCTCTATTTATTTAGCTATTGTGTTCAGGCATACACCCGGATAATTTGGTCTTTCTTCGACGCTCTCCATGTGTCTTTGAGAATTGAGCGAAGAATGTGTGACAGGCTTTGCACCCCATCGTTACCATTCTAAGCCCTTTGTTAACGTTTTAGCACACCCTTTAGCCAAATGAATGCCAATACATGTTGTGAAAACATGCAAATTGACCACCTTCTCTGTCCCTCTACTATTGTCTGCAATTGAATGCGTGCACTCAGTTCATAGTCTAGATCATAGAGGGACAGTGTCTACATGGTGACACGGTAAGGAAATAAAAATGAATGGATTAGTCTAAGATATAACCACAATTTCAAGAATGAAGCGCCCGTCTTACATAGAGCCAGGGCATATGAAGCGATAAAAATAGATCTAAGAAAATTACCTGTCAGTTCTTCGTCGGGAACAAAAGTAGTGTAAATGAGAGAGAATCCCTGGTTATCGGACACAATGCCGTCGGTGATAAACCGCACCGTAACAATATTTCCCGAGGACACCATTTCGGTATATTGTGGCGGCATACCATTTCCGCATAGTCCATACGGAGTGCCACTGAGAAGCAGACTAGAGAATGTTTTACCATCGTAGACCACCACCTCGTCCTGGTAGCAATTGATAGATTCTGTCAGATCAAACGTCTCGAATCTCACATGAATCCTCTTCCTGTGCTCTGTAGTGATGGTAAGCTTACAGTCTGCGTTGCTGGCATAACCTCCGTAGCCCGCATGCGAGTACACAAGTCCTCCCCTATATCGTATATATTGCCAGCAGTTACCGTTTAAGTCTTCTTGTATATACGCTGCATACAGCAAAGTAAGAAATATGTTAGATGTTGAGGACTACAATCATTACCATAGCAAATTTACAAAACAGTTTCTCTTTCTCAAGTGGTACAAGTATCCGCGGGGCTCGCAATCTATGTAAATTTACGGCGTATCAAGTGCATCCGTACTATTGGAGCAGTTCATTTTGTAATGAATAACCAGTTGGCTCAGATAAATATTTTTAATATTAACAATAACAGGGTGATCACTGGACACGATCATTAGGAGATTTGAAGACATTTAAAATGTCTCTGAATACTAAGAGTGGAATTCGACGTTTGAGTTTGAGCACGCAGCGTAGTCATCATAAAAGCGACAGGCGATGTGACGAAGTGTATTTAGTAAAATAAATACGAGTAAACCTACACGTGACTGTATTCTATTTTGACAATTCCGCAATGTTTGAATATGTTTAGAATGTTATCCTTAGGAGGTGAAATCAGTCACTGGGTATGTATAAACACAACGCCGTATGCAGATGTATAGTTACTGAATGTGTTCATATATTATATTATATTAAATACATTTGAATTTGAATTCATCGGCTATCTACAGATAGTTCACAAAGTGCACGTAATTTATCGCCAACGACGCACAAACCAAATAAAGTCGCGTGCAGACATCATCAATAGAACGTTAAAAGGAAATCCTTACAATTCGACGTTTTAGTCAGAGTATGAACGGTGAATTCAAATTAATTCAAGCGAATCTGAAAAGTGCTGACCCACCCATCGACCGCCCATCCAATTACTAACCAAAAGTGTCAACGTCAATTCACGCTCGGATTCGACACGCGCTTCAATAACCATGGCATTGCAACTCCCTAGCTTCGTTCTACCAACCCATTGGTTTTAAACAAGGACTTCGGTTGATTGACCCGTATAGGCCATGTTTGACCTCGTTTAGCTGTATTAAAAGACGCGGTGCCAAGCTACATATTGACTAACATTATTCGCTGTTATCGATCTACCGTCAATTTATGCTCTAAAACAATCCGGTTTTGCTGCCCGTAATGACTTCCTCCACTCCTCCTCAGCTACAAATTATATTGGACGATAATAAAAAAAACTCAGATAATATTAGTCAAATGAAACCGAAAATCGATTTCACAATTTGAAAGCTGCCATTGGCAATGACATACACCAATCTTATCGTCGTATCTTTTCTCGCCGGTATTATTAACCACAGTGATTAAGAAACACGGTCTAAATAACACGGGTTGGGACGTAAGAAATTCTGCCTGTAAAACGGGACGGTATATGGTCATATCGCTAACTTGCGTATGTACGAGTGTTTGCATTGCAAACAACCAAAGGGGGAATTAGCAGTCAAAGTAAATATTGAATGTAAAGGGGTCGCATTGGATCGTTCAACAATGTTTTGGTAATTGAATATGGCTCCGCCTTCATCTTCAACTAAAGCGTGAAATCGACTATCGACGTCGTCTATACCGGTCACATGTCCATTATGTGTGTGTGTTAACCCATGAGTAAAACGATTTGGCAAGACTTTGAGTAGGGGTAACAGTTAGATGACGAAACAAGACGAATTTATATAGCGATGTTTTAAGCCATGAAAACACATGTGAATGGTATGTTATCATAAGTGGGATGTTGATCAGCTGATTGCTGCTTCCAAAGCGGGTGTGTACTTACTGATATTGAAAGCTGCCGCCGATGGAGTCAGGGCAAAACAGACTTGACACACGAGTAGCAAGGTACCGTATAAGACTGTTCTGTCGTTGGAATTGCTGGCCATCGTGCTGGCCGCCATGATCACTGCTGACTGAGGTACATACTAAACTGTATTCACCGCTTTTACCGAACCGCACAAAAGATGTCATCAATGAATGGCAATTCTATTCCTGTCGTCCACCCCCGCCGGATGCTTATCTGAAAATCTCGCGTGTCCTGTCAATGTAGTAATTGTGCGAACAACACAAGGACAAGAAGCCGGTGACATGCACCGAATACAATCAATGTTCTGACGTTTACGTGCCGCTGAGCTGCCTGTCAAATTGATAATTGAGGGCTGTCTAGGGGGGTGCGACGTAAACGAGCACGGCCCCGCAATTTCATCTCGCCCCCAATGAGAAGGGTGAATAATTGTGTTCTCTGGCCACCGCGACTGCTTACGTAAGTGTGCATGCCGGTCGTGTTTATTACGGCGTCTTACAACAGCTTTTAGGACTCGTACTGAGCCCGAAATCAAGCACAGGGGATATGTTCCAGTGATTGCAATGGAGCGTAAACTTCCCGTTATACTTCAATCTGTAGCAATTTGCTATATTTTGTATACTTAAAATTATAACACGTCTAAAACAGTATTTTGAAGGCTGTCCATGCCAGGTATTAGCATTGCCACTGCATAGTTGAGTGGCATGTCATGTATCTCACACTGGTTTCAGCACTAAAGGTCACTTATAAACATTTATATTTTACTTTATCTTAGTGCATTCGCTGACAGATCCCGTAGCGAACACTGTGACTTTCGCTCTATGCAATTCAGTGTGTTTATTTTACAATGTTCTTGGATTGCCACAAGTCAGTTCTCAAGCCTGAGTGTGGTTCATCTTGGTATACCATACAGCATACATCCCGAAAAGAACGACCGAGTCAGAAATTGTTTTTTTTTTTTACTTGAATTAAATCTGACATTGACCACAACATGACATATTACATTCATTATACACGTGCTTGGAACCGACACTTGAATTCAGTGCATGTTTTTAATGTTTCCTGACTAGTTTTCAATGTTAGGGACAGCATTATTGGGGTCCGTCGGAATTTGTGAATTTTTAGTCTGATTAATGCACATCTTCGAGCATTTTCTAACTAAAATAACCGTTAATTAAGATATACCGTTATGAGGGTAATAACAAAGCGTGTGTTCCCATGGAAACAACCACAGACAAACACATTTTTAAAATTATATTTTGTCACTATATTGATAAAAACAATCGTTTGGCACCGTTTCCGTAGCATACAGTGTTGCCTCATTTTACCACAGTCAGTGACGTCACTATCACGCAGAATAAGAGATTTAGAGAAATGTCGAGAGTGAACCTTCTATTCACTAAGTGAGGGCATGCTATTGAACGAGCTGCCACTTCATTTAGTCTTATGAAAAGCACTGCAACACAAATTACTGCGTGCAATACAATAACGCAGCGAGTGGGCCACGCGGAATAGTCAATATAAATGTCAGACAGCCTAGATCAATGTCACTACATGGCATAACGTTCAAAAACAACCGTGAACGCCAACATTTTCTTTCCAGTTTATTTTATCGTAAAACAAAACGTTCGAGATTTCGTTAGTCGGATCATCAAGCTATTTGTGGTGCTACATGTAGGGTAAAGTGGTCCATCTTGTCGGAATTTATGTTTTCAAACCTGAAATTGTTCACTGGTATGAATCACGTGGAGATTGTCATATCCACTAGATATAAAGCTTCACGACTTCAGAAACGTAGAAACGGACAGGATACTTGTTTGTATAACACAAACATATTCTGACATGGTTCATACAATCATCGCACCATATAGAACATTTCCATACTAAATTGGCGATCGATATATTAATTATTTCTCTAGGATATTTTGTTAAAAAAAATATTTTAATATGTCATTTTTTTTGTCTAAAAGCGTTGGAAGTGAGAAAATATTATGAGCGATTCACATGACTGTAGACTACGCTGTAGTTTTAATTGGCTTAACTTAGAATTATTTCATTATAACTACACTGAATTGGACGATATCCACCAACATTATATCAATGGGAAAATATCACACAGTCACGAATCTTATCATTCGGTCGGTTCTAGGTAATTGACCTTGGTTAAAGTCATTCCCAGAGTGGGTCGGTTCCAGGTAATTGACATCGGTTAAAGTCATTACCAGAGTGGGTCGGTTCCAGGTAATTGACATCGGTTCGAGTTATTCCCAGAGTGGGTTGGTGCCAGGTAATGGACATCGGTTCAAGTAATTCCCAGAATGGGTCGATTCCGGGTAATGGACATCGGTTAAAGTCATTCCCAGAGTGGGTCGGTTCTAGGTAATGGACATCGGTTCAAGTCATTCCCAGAGTGGGTCTGGTCCAGGTAATGGACATCGGTTCAAGTCATTCCCAGAGTGGGTCTGGTCCAGGTAATGGACATTGGTTAAAATTATTCCCAGAGTGGGTTGGTTCCCGGCAATGGACATCGGTTCAAGTCATTTCCAGAGTGGGTCGGTTCCAGGTAATAGACATCGGTTCAAGTCATTCCCAGAGTGGGTCGATTCCAGGTAATTGACATCGGTTCGAGTTATTCCCAAAGTGGGTCGTCTCCAGATAATGGATATTGGTTCAAGTCATTCCCAGAGTGGGTCTGGTCCAGTCCATCGTTCAAGTCATTCCCAGAGTGGGTCGGTTTCAGGTAATGGACATCGGTTAAAGTCATTCCCAGAGTGGGTCGGTTCCAGGTAATTGACATTGGTTCAAGTCATTACCAGAGTGGGTCGGTTCCAGGTAATGGACATCAGTAAAGTCATTCCCAGAGTGAGTCGGTTCCAGGTAATTGTCCATCGGTTCGAGTTATTCCCAGAGTGGGTTGGTTCCAGGTAATGGACATCGGTTCGAGTTATTTCCAAAGTGGGTCGGTTTCAGGTAATGGACATCGGTTCAAGTAATTCCCAGAGTGGGTTGGTTCCAGGTAATGGACATCGGTTCAAGTAATTCCCAGAATGGGTCGGTTCCGGGTAATGGACATCGGTTAAAGTCATTCCCAGAGTGGGTCGGTTCCAGGTAATTGACATCGGATAAAGTCATTCCCAGAGTGGGTCGGTTCCAGGTAATTGACATCGGTTCGAGTTATTCCCAGAGTGGGTCGGTTCCAGGTAATTGTCCATCGGTTCGAGTTATTCCCAGAATGGGTTGGTTCCAGGTAATGGACATCGGTTCGAGTTATTTCCAAAGTGGGTCGGTTTCAGGTAATGGACATCAGTTCAAGTCATTCCCAGAGTGGGTCGGTTCCAGGTAATGAACATCGGTTCAAATCATTCCCAGAGTGGGTCGGTTCCAGGTAATGGGCATCGGTTCAAATCATTCCCAGAGTGGGTCGGTTTCAGGCAATGGATATTTGATCAAGTCATTCCCAGGGTGGGTCGGTTTCAGGCAATTGATATTTGATCAAGTCATTCCCAGGGTGGGTCGGTTTCAGGCAATTGATATTTGATCAAGTCATTCCCAGGGTGGGTCGGTTTCAGGCAATGGACATCGGCTAAACTGATTCCCAAGTGGATTGGTTCCAGGGAATGGACATCGATTCGAGTTATTCCCAGAGTGGCTGGTTCCAGGTAATGGAAATCAGTTCGTCATTCACATAAAGTGTCGGTTCCAACTATTGGACACTCTAGACTTGGTGCAATATTTTAATATAAAACAGTCCTGGCTTACATTGAAAAAACAAACAATTCGCTATTTTTTTCAAATTGTGTTAGTTAGGGACGACGTCAAAAGATCGATGTCAAAAACGATTTTATTTTTTAATGAAGTCAAACAAATCTTGGAGTATTTGTAATTCGTTTTTTTTTATCCAATCATGGACAAAAATAATAATAAAAATAATAATATTTTTTTTTTAAATTTAGTTTTAAATTTAAAAAGAAATAAATCGCCCAGACTGTTCCAGTTTAAAGAAAGGTACAAATAAAGCTTGTTTTTCTTTTTCTTTGTTATTGTAAAGTCTTTTTACACCCACCCAATAACCAGCTATGCCATACTACTATCTGATTATCAATTTGTATTAAATAGTGAATGTAGTCTGACGCCATGATCAATATTTATCAATTAAGTTTCAGTGGGGTGGGGGAACTAAATGAGTTAAGTTTTTTATTCTACATTGAACTTTTGATGTTGTCCCTCATTAGGTTATATGAGTAATTACCGGTATGTGTGTACGTGATTAACGGAGTACGTGGTTCCTTACGGAAATTACGGAGCCACCCTCTACGATACAAAAACCACAGACCACCTTGTCGATATACAGTACAAGGAAACTTCCCAACGGGGTACGGTGTCTTATTTGTCAGCCTGCTTTGTATTAACATTGCCCAAAAAGCAATGTACCCATTGCCACCGTCTTCTCATGTCATATATTTGGGAATACTTTTACAAAAAGCAATGTACCCATTGCCACCGTCTTCTCATGTCATATATTTGGGAATACTTTTAAAAAAAGCAATGTACCCATTGCCACCGTCTTCTCATGTCATATATTTGGGAATACTTTTACAAAAAGCAATGTACCCATTGCCACCGTCTTCTCATGTCATATATTTGGGAATACTTTTACAAAAGGCAATGTACCCATTGCCACCGTCTTCTCATGTCATATATTTGGGAATACTTTTACAAAATCCGACAGTTATCTATCACAATTTTAGGGTAGGTAAATAATTGAATTATCTTAATTCAATGACATGGCGGAAATTCTGTGTATTCGTGTTATAGCCTGTGGGATGGAGCGAGTTGTCAAGCACAGCACGTGACCCACACAGCGGGCTCCCCTTGCCAATGGCATAAACAAAATTGAAAGTAGATAATTGACAGTTGAATTAAATGGCGGGGGGTATTTTTGGTTGTACTCTTCCAACCATCCCCATCGAGGTTCAAGTTGTTACGAATAGGGACTGCATATTGCACGAACCACGGCGTCGGCCCAAATCACGTACGCGACTTTCATCTCACGTGACTTGTCTCGAAGATTCAAGAGATTACATGAAGTGATTCCGCGTAATATTTCCGTCCAATTATCTCACGTGCCGCCATACACATCTTATCACGATTCATGTATAT